CTTTCTGGATAATTGGCTCATTTAGAATAACACAGTTGATATGATTGTTGTTGTTGTTGTAGCTGCTACAGCAGTTAAATTAGGTTAGGTTTATTATAAATGTCTAAACTGCTATTTTCATGCAGGCATGCATTTTTCAGCACACAATATTTATATAAGCTCTCCTGTGTGAATTAGCAAATCTAGCCATTGATTAATTAAGACGTTATTTTCTTTCTTTTTCAGATATCAGAATTACAGCATAAATGCCTCTTATAATTTGCTTAGGCATGTACTAGTGTTGCATATTTTTTCAGACTGTGCAGTTACCAAAGCCTGGGTTTGAGTACAGGACCTTACCTTATCCTGGTAAAGATCTATGGAAGGACTCCTTCAGCTCAGTTTGGCAGCAGCTTTGTCAGGACACATTGAGAAGGTAATAACTTATGTCTAGTTTGAAACTTCAGCTATTGACGGAAGCAACTCCCAATGCTCGGGCAATATTTGGTAGTTATTTTGATGTATATCAGGAGAAAATTTCTCTAATTCTGACTATATTAAGACTTCTCAATGATTTAAAGTGGGAGACTGTATATGTCATCTTTTTTAAGCCTTATTTGTGTGAGAGTTGGCTAATCTTACTTTGTCAGAAGACATAGCCCATGGTGATATGGCAACCTCTTTGCTAACCTTAAGATTACCTCTGTTTGTGTTTATTGATATCTTAAGCAAACAATGTAGGGTGTGTATGTTGGTTCTTTAATTTATTTACCATGGTATATAGGTAAAAATCATAATCAGTAAGTTTTATTACAATATTGAAGGAAAAGGTTATGAAAAAAAAACACATTTAATTGTGATTACTTGTATTTTAACCCAAAATTTTATGCTCTCATTTAAAGAAATGGAGTTTCTATTACAATTTTTAAGCAATAAGGTCTTATTCTTTCATAAAAATAACTGTATGACATTAGACGGTAACATTAAACTTTATTCGAAGATAATCCATTGACAGAATCAAAAGATATGACAGAATTTGTAATATAAATTTTTGCGTAAAATTCTATTGGCCGAGCCTGACTTTTCGCATGAAGGTTCATATTTTAGAAATTGTACTGCATTAATGTAATTTGTTAGAGACATGTCAAACATATATGATTGTACTTGTATAACACTAAATTACTAGGAAATGAGTATAAAGTTTGGCTTATATTAAATTTTGGATTAATTTAGGTCTCAACCCAGTACGGAATTAGACCGAACCCATTGTAGTCTAGAAAGTACATTGTGTAGTTCTTTAAAATTTTGAAATGGCCCTATTTAAGTCATCTCTAGTTAGATTGGTCATAATTTAAGTGTATTTATTGCATGTGTGTAGTTTTTGTGTGTTATATGATGACTTTAAAAGTTGTTTCTTGTGTATTCTCCAGGAACTTATTTGTTGGTGGAAGGATTAAAGATGTACTACCCACCAGCTGTCAGGAGTTTTTAAAGTGGTGAATTTAAACAGTGTTACAACAGAATGAAGATTTCTGAAAAAAGAAGATGGCTAACCTATTATATTTTGGGCCTCATTGGACTTAGATAGTGTTAATGTTTAAAGTTGAAGACAGTATATAATTCATCAAGAACAGTGGAATCCAGAATTAAGCCTCAAATTTGACTGATTTACTATAGAACAAATAGTACGAAAATTCACCGGGCCGAGGCCAATTGAGAACAAAAAAACTATTACGTGATATTTCTATAAATTTTCTATAATTGTTTTACCGTTTAAGGTGGACAAACTTGAAAGATGTGTTTCAAAATTATCAAATTTTACAAACAATAAATTGTTTATACTGAAAATCTACAGAATTGAAATATTCGTAGTGGCATTTGTCATAATAAATAGAGATATTTTCTGCGTAAACTTATGTGTTTACTTTATTTATTTTTTGCTCGGAATTATTCATAAAATGGGAGGCCTATTTAATCATTTTCTTAAAAAGAAATAATTGTTTTATGTTCGACCTTCTCCGGTCTTCAACGGTCACCAGTTTCCAAAGACCTTGTTCTATATTGACCGATTATTATCAACTATATTCCAGATACAAACGTTTATTTACCCCCACCCCCCCCCAAATTATGTTGAAAATAGTTAAATGAAATATCTTTATATCATTAAAATGTTCACCGCAGGAAACCATTTTACTTGTTTTATCTTGTTAGGATCGGAATAACATCGGTCTAAGCGGTAGTTATCGGCTATTTAAAATTTTGTCGTTTTGATGCGTAAAAAATCCTACGACCAATGTTACATTGCCGATAAACACCACTAAGACTGATGTTATTTCTTAAACAGAATCTTTAATACATGAATTCAGGAACATACATGACAATATACATAGAATATGGATCTGCACAACTTCTCATAATTAATAAAAAAATTATATGAGAAAAAACATATTACATATACATGTATTTAAATACGCCCCAATAATATGCTTGAAAGATGACAAAGTTTTACATTCATGCAATTAGGAAATAAGGTGTTAAGCTTATGCATCCAATACGATTCCTTTTAATTGTAGATTCCACAACAAAAAGTGTTAAGTTTCAATCCAGTATGATTATTTTTTAATTGTAGATTCCACAAGCAGCACTTAAAATAATCATTTTAAATGGGCCAAATGACCTAAATTTGAAAAAGTTTTTCAGACACAATATTATCATAATCGGACCTAGAATCGCACTTAATATCGATTTTCATTTAAATTCTGAATGTAGTCATTTAACATCTTTTAAAGTGTCCCAGTTGATCCAAGTTTTTATGGCTTTGGGATGCTTTTATTGAATGCCATCTTTAATTTTTGATTTTTGTTTTCATGGTGCTCCTTTAATGTATTCTATTTTGTTTATCATGAGATCATGTACATTGATTGAAATTTGAGAGATCGACTCTAATTTAATGTGTTGTCAATAATCAGTTTGAATAATTTATGATTTTGTATCATGTTTGTTTAAAATATAGTGTTCAAGTATACATAAATGATTAAACTATATACCAGCACCATGGATAATACAAAAAGAGAGTTACATCTTCCTTTTTTCCAATAATATCCTGGTACCTTGCATCATGACACAAGACAAGAATTATATAATATCGTATATTTAAACCACATACTAAAATATATCATATGGTTAACATGTTAAGATAAGTGAAAAACGTAGAAATATACAAATCATACCAAAGTCTTGATTAAAAAGATTATAATAACTTGACCTTTTTGACAGCGATCTTAAACTTATTGGACTGTGAAACACTAGTTATTGAAGATTTACAACATAAACAAGGGGTAGTCTACCGAAATTTTTGACTTTTTTGACTTTAAAACATCCAAGTTTACGATACATAGTATTGTGACTGCGGATATACTTATTGGGAATAAATAGAGGATACTAAATGTTCAAAACTGAATTTATTGCACGAGTTCTATAAAATTATATTATGCGAGCCTCTGGCGAGCATAATATTATTTTATTCCACGAGTTCAATAAAGTCAGTAATGTACTTACTTAATTTAATATTCTATTTATCACATACCCAAAATAAAGACCGTTTAAAATAAAAAAAGTCATTTTTCATTGACGCGCCTATAGTATAACGCTAACATTTAGCGCGTTTTTACACTATGTTTGTATAACGCTAATGACGTCACGTAAAAATATATGCACGGCCGTGCAATACCATTTTTACGGAGTCGAAATATCGGCACGGGTGTGTGATAAAATACTCATCAATATAATTGTGGGCTGTGCCTGCTACTATTTCAAAGACTTATGATAGAATAATTTGGAAACAGGTAATCAGTTTAAAAAATAAATTATTATCAATGTGAGGTCGTCGTTCCCAGGAAGAAACCAATATTTTGAATTACCTGTCATTTGCGGGTTTTAGTATGTTGCTGAGGAGGCCATTGAATCGCACGAAACATTTTGATCCATTGTAATAACCTGGCTATTACAAGATACATTCGAATGTAAACCAGCTTCTGACTATAGGCGGAAAATTGGCTCGGTTTTACATAAAGTTAATAACAATTTATAATCAATTGACCTTTTGCTAACACTTATTTTCAAAAATAAGAAATTTTTAACCAGCAAACCATTATTCCAAAATTATCGGCATGACATAAAAAAATTGTTACGACAGCTTACATACCGAATAAAACGTTTAAAAACAAAAGAGTTCCTGAGATCAAGTCTTAAAGAACACCACAGGAAATATTGGAGTAAGAGGAAAAAGTTTTTAAACCATCAATAATTTGTTGTCGTTCCGTAAGGCACGACTTGAACCATCGGCGCTAAGAAGTTCATCTTTAATATAGGTATAATATGGTCTAATATCTTCTAAAAATCCAAAAGTGTCATAACGAGAAATTTGTGTGTTTTCATTTAAGATCTAACGAACAAGAGAAAAACGAAATCCCCAAGGAACGCCCAAAACGGCAACATTTGAAATGTTGCATACTCAGTTTGATTGAGCCTGTACATGAACGTACTGGAAAGTGCAAGTAACCGTCCACGTTTGCTAGCACCGGCTTAAGTGGAATTCAAAAATTCACATAAACTGGAAAAAAGGTTAAATATCCAACATCAGCAGATGACGAGGTTGTTCTAAACAGATGTGGGAGGTCTCTCAACAAATTTTGACAAATTGCAACATTTACGCTAAAATATTTTTCCGCAACATTTAATTTAACAAAAGAAATTTCATTGTGAACTTTGTGACCTATTCTGCAAACACGCGTATATACATTATTTATTTAAAAAATAAGATTCTTGCTCAAAATAATGATTGTTAACACACATTTCATACTCAAAAGGCATTCAAAATAGTTCATTGTGAAATGACACATAATTTGGAAAAATACACGGTAAAGTATTAAATGCTCATTCTTTTATTTATGTATGTGATCGAAGCGTTCGATATTTGCTCTGAAAAAATTATCCTTTCACTAAAATAATGAGTGATTCCTTAATGTTGACTTAAACAGAAATCATAAAAATCTGGAAACAAAGTGATCCCTCGGAAGCATTAATCACAACAAAATTACATAAGAATAGCAGACTGGGTTTGATTGAGTCTGTACATGAGGAATAATGAATAAGTGCAACATTCCTCACGCCCCCTAGCACCGGCTTGAGCGGTACTCAATTCTCAACACTTAATAGTGCTGGCATCAATGATCCCGAAGGAGCAGAAAAAATATAACAACACTGAAGTGAAGTACGTGGCAACTTTTTACAGCTGCCACACGGCACATGACACCTGCTGTTGTGAAGTATAAAAATCTGGAAACAAAGTGATCCCTCGGAAGCATTAATCACAAAAAAAACACATAAGAATAGCAGACCCGGTTTTATTGAGTCTGTACATGAGGACACACTTTAGCATTAAATCTTAAACTGCTGTTTTAACGTTCATTCATTGCACATCTGTCACGTCATTTGGATCAATGCAAGGTTTGGGGCCGTATGCCCATTCCTTTATATCTGTGATTGTTTTTGCATATTTGCTCTGATGATTCATCCTTTCACATAGGTTACACATAGCTCTTTGATATACATACAAATACCCAGCTGAGTAATATTGACTTTTCCGCTTTAAATAGGCGGCATACGTTTCAACACTGATATGATTAAGAAAGTAAACAAGACCTTGAACAGATTCGAATTCATCGGTTGATAAAAATGTTCCCTTGGGAAATATTTGTTTCGCTTCACCGGGGCTTCCACCACGTACCAACATAATTAGATCATAATTGAAATTATCGTAAAATTTCTCTGTTATATACTGATGACAAAACGCATTTTCGAAGGCTAGATAAAACCTAAAAGTTGTATTTAAAAGTTTGAAGCAGTCTTCGTCGTGTTTGTAGTGAGTACCACATGTCCACTTTTTCCCACAGTTTCCCAAGACTTCAACGTCAACATATTCCTTTAACTTATTTACATATTCCTGACGTTTAGACCTGACATTACAATGAGAAACTATTATTAATAGTGTTTTGTTTTTCTTTTGTGAAATTGATTTGTAGTCCCGTATTAATTCTGATTTGTGTTTCAGTATTTCTCCGTATGGCAAATATATGTCAGAATTATCTTTGTCATAGGTCATCGTCCAGTTGAAGGAGTATTCTTTATTTCTATACCACCATGTCCCTGTGTCGCCGTATGAAATTGGAGCTTCGTGAGCTGCGAAAATCCATATCTGACCATTTGGACGTGTGAAACTAATATTCCTTGGCATTCTACGACCATCAAAAATAACAGCCTGACTGATACCTGCATCTGATGTATTTACAGTCATTTCACAGTTATTGTATTTGCATTTTTCAAAACCACAATACAACGCATCCCTATGGGTAACTGTAAAATGTCCAGCTGGGTTGTACCAGAGAATGAGAAACCTTTCCTTACTTGGTCCCATCAATAACTGAAATGAAATGACGAATTCGAAGATGGTTTGTTTTGGCAAATAAAAAGAAAGTTTACCGAAACCCCTCATGTACTTACAGACTATCTCCAAAAGATCATAGGAATAATAAAAAGAAAACATCTAACTTAAAGTGCATTATTTGTATTTTACCGTTTTGTTATTGAACATAAACACATCTTATTACAGTGAACTTGTCGTTAGCAACAACTTTATTCGAAGGGCATCCTTTGCTAGTGATTTTTATAGTCTACATACTTGTGAATCTACTTGTTGTATCAGAATAAATAAATAGTAAAAAATAGATAGTCAAACCTATCTTTTTTTTAAATATTACCTTTAATACACCAATAATAATTTCATAATATAGAATTGTCCTATGTTTTTTTCCTAATTTTTGACTTTAATTGAATGGGTTAAAATCCAGTCATGGGCTTTGTATTTTGTCATGTGATGAAAACATACAGTCAGTTTTCGAGACGTCGCTTGTTTTACTCAGGTACCTGTTCTTGCCTGAAGTTATGCACTTAGGGGCATCTGAGGATTTCCTCGACCAGTTAAACAGGAAAAAACAACAACACAATTTTAAGGTAAAATGTGAGGTATAAAACATTCTCCGAATTAAATTTTTACGAACAAAAATAAGTATATTATCAATGATTTTTAAAAAAAATGTTTTGCATAAATATTTGAAAATCACAAATTTTAATATGCATATCGTCGATAATGATATCAAGAAACATTTCAAAAACACGGAGAACTGAGATATAAATTCTCTCATATGAAAATAATATTTTACTACCAACAACGTCACCTTAAGTATCAACTGATTTATGTAATTATATTATTTCCATTATGCGGTAAACTTTATTTTTATTGTTATGTTTTTACTATACTAACCATCTTTATTTTTTTTCGAACTTGTAATACTATGTTCACGTTTTAAGCTATGTAAACAGATCATTTCACTCGTATGATTTTCTTTACATTTCTTAGCCTATTCATATAATAAAACAATTATTAACTAGTGAGCCATTGAATATGATGTGATATTCACCGGCAGATGACATATTGACCGAGGCGATAGCCATGGTTCACTAGTTAATAATTGTATAATATATATATATATATATATATATATATATATATATATATATAATATATATATATATATATATATATATATATATATATATATATATATATATATATATATAAATTATTCTGAAATGCAACAACTTTGTTTTCTGTGACAAACATTCCTACAGGTACAGGGCACGGCTATGGGGATAAAATGGCGCCATTCTTACGCCAACGTGTTTATGGGCAAATTAGAAGGACAACTGCTAGCTGCAGTACCTCTTAAACCATTCAGTTGGTTACGCTATATAGATGACATTGACATTCAATGGTGTCACGGGGAAGAAGCTTTGCAAGATTTTCTTTACAGAGCTAATACTTTTCACAAATCTATAAAGTTCACCACTGAGGTATCAAACGAACAACATGTTTTTCTCGACACAGTATCTCATATTAAAGACAATCATATAATTACTGATTTGTATTCAAAACCCACCGATAAACATCAATACCTTCTTCCAAGCAGCTGCCACCCTCGACACTGTTGTATGAACATACCATACAGTTTGGCTTTGAGAATCAAACGAATCTGTTCAAATCCCAGCACGTTCTATATCAGAGCAAAAGAACTGTCTGAACATCTCAAGAAGCGAGGATACAAGGAACAAGACATTGTAAACGCGATCTTAAATGCAGACAGCAAGCACAGGAAGGACTTACTAGAGTACAAACATCAATCTAGTGGTTCTACACAAAATAAAATTCCATTTGTGCTCACATATCACCCAGACTTACCTAACACCAGAGCCATCATTGACAAACATTGGCCAATTATTGAGTCTTCACAGAAACTTAACAAGATGTTCCCAACTAAACCAACCATTGCATATAGGAGACCTAAAAGCCTCAGGGACATACTTGTTCGAGCCCAACTGAGACCAATAATGTCAGATAAAGAAGGTCAGTCCGGACCATGTGGCACACCAAGATGCCAAACCTGTGCTGTCATGCTCCTTACAAAAACATTCTCTTCAAAAATAGGGGCCAAAACATCTCTCAAAGACATAATGAATTGTAAAACGGCTAACGTTATTTATCTTATTTCTTGCCAAAGTATGTAACAAACAATATGTCGGTGAAACCAAACTTCCATTAAATAAACGAATGAACTTACACGCTCTGACTGGAAAACGCGAAAATTTAACAGATCCCAGTTGCTGAACATTTTCACCTTGAGGGACACAGTTTTAAAGACGTGTCCCTCTGTTGTATTGAACATAACAAAGTGGTCAGATACAACACAGAAATCACGCGAGACATACTGGATTCGCCGACTGAATACGCTAGAGCCATCAGGAATCAATAAAGGAGACTAATTTACACACTTATTCTCGCCCATTCTTGACAAATTTTAAAACCTAACTTTGGTCATCAGGCGGTGTCGGGGAGGGCTATTTTTCCCTTGCCTGAGAGCTTCGTTTTTTACTTTCACCTTTATCGTAAATTTCCACTTCATATAACATCAAACTGTTTGTAACTTGCATTTTCTTACATCATACTTATAGTAATAAAAACACAATACGCCCTTATATGTGAAGTTTTATTATTTATTTTTTTAGTTTATATATATTTTTTTCTTTTAAACACAGTTTTATAGATATATTTAACCGAGTTTATACCATATTGACCGCAGGCTATATTCTCTTTTGTAAAGTACTACACAATGACCATTCAATAACGGTCTATTCAAAATCGATGTAATTTTATCACCTTTCTAGCGACTGTGTTTCAGTTCAATTTTTGATACTATACAGTACACACGTATTGAGATTTTGTGCTCGATTGTGTGCACATTATACATGTAATACACCCCTGATGAAGGCATAATACGCCGAAAGTACTTGGGTATCTATACTTTAGCACTGTTGAACGTTTTATTTTCTCCAAAATTTATTGTTTTTTTCCCACGTTTCTTGTATCCTTCTTTGGATCCAGTGTTTTTGAAGGGTATTTTGTTAGATGCAAAATTATTTTTTCACAAACCTATATATATATATATATATATATAATATATATATATAAATATTATATATATATATATATATATACATATATATATATATATATATATTAATATATATATAATATATATATATATATATATATTATATATATATATTATATATATGATATTATTAAGTATATACATTCTGTTTTTCAAAGGCAATATTCTATTTTTTTTAGAAATGCTTATATTTTTTTTTAATTAATAAATATAAATTCAGTTTGCATTTTGAAAATGGAGAAGGACTTGAAGCAATTAGTGTATGATCCCAAAAATGATCCCTATTCTTTATTTTTTTAGCTGCATTCTATGAGTTTATAGTTTCTCAGACTCACATTTAAGTGCTATATGGCCTTGTGTTTCTTTATGTATAAAAGTTTTAAATCTGATTTTTTTGTTACATTATCTTTTCATAGAACATGTACTTTAATAACTTTTTTACAACAAATTACCGATACACTTCACTTTGAATAAGGGACATTAAAAATACTTTTTTTACAGTTTTTTTCAATTTTTTGTAAAACTATACTTTTTTACATCTTTTTTCCATTTTTTTACCATGAAGAACAAAGTTAGAATTCATAGATTCTGTCTATGTGCACTATGTCCCATCTATATTTAGTGCCCTATCTTTATCATGGGTGCCCTGCCTGTTTTCTGTGTATATACAACTTTTAATTAAATTAAATTATTAGATAAAAAGTTTAAAAAAATATTGTAAAAAAAACATACGCAACAACAACTTAAACATAAACAATTGCAGATAATTTATTAACAAAATGCACAAGTCCTAAAACTCGTGGGAAACATCAGCAGTATACAAACAAAGTCAACGAACTTAAGGAATCAAAGAAACGAAAAAAAAACAACGAAAAAACAAACAAACAAACAAGCAAAACAAAAGACAATACAAATTTATTATATATAATATATTTTTAAATATATATACATGTATAAACATAATAAATTTGTATTGTGTTTTGTTTTGCTTGCTTTTTTTAAATATATAAACATTATAAATTTGTATTGTGTTTAGCATATGTCCCATCAATAAAAAGTGTAATATTTGTAATGTTTGCAATGGTTTGTAAGTTAAGACAGTAAATTAGTGCTTGAGAATTTTTTAAATTATGAGATATTTTACCGCAAAACACTTATCGTTGAAAATGCCAAATTTTTGATGAAACAATATAAAACAAATCCTTAGGTTTCTCAATAACAAACCAATGGTCAAGTTTACTCTTGCTAAAATTGAACGCTGATTGCACTTTCAACAATCCGACAAATGCCGCAGTATTAACTACATGCAAGTATGTATGATAAAAAGCTTACTTGTATGAAGGGGAATATCCGCCAATAGTAAATATATCTTGATGGCATGTTTATATCTGAATGATACTAATCTATGTGTCAGGGTTGTATTTTTTATTCGATGATCTGCTTAATGAAATGTGAATATATATAGTACTGCTTCATTGCCCATAGCCTGGGATGCAGGCGTTGATATTTTTTAGTTATTTATAATTTACGCTCTATTTCATCCACTATAGTGGTCTTATTTGCCGAATAGAAGTACATAAAAAATCGTCAGACTGGAATTCAGGATACATTTAAACATTAAAAAATAACCATAATAAAAACAAAATCGAAATAATGCTATTATGAATAAAGTAGCATATAAGACGAAATCACTTATATGAATGGGACATAAACGAATAAAGTCAGTCTACACGCAGTTACAACAGTGACAGAATGCAATGATGCATGCCTGTTTTCTTGAACATAAAACATGAAAATTAATTAACAAGTAAAGACAAAACAGGCCTTTTAATATTTCAAACATTATAGT